ATGGCGCTTTATCGCTGAATAAAGAATTAAGTTCATCGAAGCACTCTTGTCTTGACAATCCACGTCGAAAGTTATGAAAAATAATGGCACGAAAATGTTCACGATTCAATTCCATTTTTTGAAAGAGAAGAACTTTTCAATTTACTGTCAACAACACAAATGAAGCTATAATGGTAAATCGTCTGCTGAATTTATGTTTAAAAATATTAAACTTTCGATTAAAATCGTCTGCGGTCGCCTAGCAACACTTACTGTTGCCAAGGCCAGAAATATAAATAGCAACCCTCGTAGTAGTAATCTCTTGAAAACAAAGTACTTCTGTGTGCAGGCAAAGCCGTCTCGCATTGTCATTTAAACTGTATTCAAGCATGCTTTTAAAGAAACCTGAATCGATTTAGAGGTTAAATGGCACTCGGCCCCTTATGCCAAGACTAATAAAATTGTCATAATTTTATTACTTTACATTTTTGTGAAAAATCAGTAGAACTGCTAAGAACTATTAAGCGTTATTTCTTCTTATTTAAGAAAGTTACGTTTTTTTTTCTTCTTTTTTTTCCTGTGTACCTTTTTAGAAAAGTATAATGCTGTCAAATGATAGTCTATCATCTAAAGTTTATTAAGGACCTCACACCCGCAAAAAAAAGGAAAATCAAAAATTAAACCTAAAATCCAAGATGGAGTTGGAAAGCCATCTCAAGAGCATTTCTGCCTCCTATTATTTATCCTCCTGCATCGATTTTTTTAATTTTCTTTCATATTCTAAATAAACCTCTAACTCGATTTAGGTTTCATTAATTGAGCTATTGTTTGATATTTATTAATTTAAAATTCACAATTTCATTATTCTACTCACTTCTTCAGTTCAGTTTATCTTCTTCATTCAAACATGAGTTCCTTTAGGTTCTCTGCAAATTTTTGAATATATTGGGAGCACAAATTAGTTCAGTCTGTTTTTTTGTTGTCAAAAATTCATTTATTTTTGAATTAATTATAATAAATTAATCAAAGTATTGTCCATCGCTGGCTACTACTTTTTCTCACCCCTCAGGCAATTTTCGAATTCCATCTCGAAGAAATGTCTCGTCTTTTGAAGCGGTTCAAGTTAGGGGCCAATTTCCGATTTCTGCGAAAGAAGTGAACCGTTGACCTAGCCAATTGTGCTGCATCGGTAGGAACAACTAGTAATCAGAAGGAGCAACGTCCGGTGAATACGGTGGGTGCTGTAAAATATTCCATTTTAGTGCTTCCAAATAATTTTTTACGACTACTGTGACATGAGGTGGACCGTTATCATGCAGAAGAATAACTTTGTCATGTCTTTGCTCGTATTCCGGCCGTTTTTCTCGAAATGCACGACTCAAACGAATCAATTGTAGCCTATACCGGTCGCCCGTAATGGAATCACCTTTTTGTAGCAGCTCATAGTATTATGGTGATGGCTGGTCGATACGAATACTGCATCCGGCTTACACCGACCGCAGTGCTAACTTGAAATATAATCAGTAGTAGACGGATAATGGGTTAGAGTCCCCTAGAAGTCAGGCTAACCGTGGGAGGTTCTCGTGGTCTTCCTCTCCATGTAACGCAAATGCGGGTTAGTTATATCAAAAAGTCCTCCACGAAGGCAAATTTCTCCCAGTACTGGATTCCCTTGTCGTCTGGAATGAGTTCAAAATTACAAGGCTACGGAGTTGAATATTAGTAGTCGTAAACCCGTAAAAGTGGGCCGGCTGTTCAACGACGGTTATAAAATAAACATGATAATTTTAGAAAATTAACATTTATTTAAGAGTAAAAATTAAGTAGAAAAGAGAAAGAAGTATGAATTGCCTGTTTTGCATACATTTTTAGCCACGGATTTGCCCGAAATGAATTTGCACATGGTAAAAATTATATAAATTAACAAACAAAAAAAAAAGATACAGTAAATTTATTTACAATAATACACAACTAACTCTATGATTTTATATAGAATTTAATTACTTAAGTTGCGTATCCATTGTTTTTTATCACATTTTGAAAGAGTTTATCTATTTGTTTTTTGGATAAATAAATATTACTACATATTCTTTTAAATCTATTCATTTCATGAAAAGTGATATTTAAATAGATGTTACTAGAAACATTAGAATTCCAAGTTATTAGTTTATTTATATCAAAATTAAAATAATTTCTTTTATCGTATAAATCAACAAAGCAGATATTTTCTTCTTTTATAATGCCAAATTCCAAAAAGTTTAAATTAATCTTAACTTCATGATAACGAAGTAAGATTAACTCCTCGGGGTAAATATTATTTAATAAAACAGTATAATCCTGAAATTTAAAGATAATTAAGTCATTTATAAATCTAAAAACAAATTTAATATTAAGA